TGAGATGGAGTCTCACTTTGTCACCCAAGCTGGAGTACAGTGGTACGATCTCAGCTCACTGCAACCTCCACCTCCGGGGTTCAAGCAATTCTCTGGCCTCAGCTTCCCAAGTAGCTGGAATTATAGGCATGTGCCACCACGCCCAGCTAATTTTTGTATTTTTAGAAGAGATGAGGTTTCACCATGTTGGTCAGGCTGGTCTTGAACTTCCAACCTCAAGTGATCTGCTTGCCTTGGCCTCCCAAAGTGCTGGGATTATAGGCTTCAGCTACCATGCCTGGCCAAAAGGTACGTCTTACTTGGCAGCCAGCAAGAGAGAGCTTGCACAGGGGAACTTCCATTGATAAAGCCATCAGATCTTGTGAGACTTATTCACTACCATGAGAAGAGCATGGGAAAGACGCATCCCCATGATTCAGTTACCTCCCATCGGGTCACTCCCACAACACGTGGAAATTGTGGGAGCTACAATTCAAGATGAGATATGGGTGGGGACAGAGCCAAACCATATCATTTCACCCCTGGCCCCTCCAAATCTCATGTCCTCACATTTCAAAACCAGTCATGCCTTCCGAACAGTCCCTCAAAGTCTTAACTCATTTCAGCATTAACCCAAAAGTCCACAGTCCAAAGTCTCATCTGAGACAAGGTAAGTTCCTTCTGCCTCTGAGCCTGTAAAATGAAAAGCAAGTATCTACTTCCTAGATAAAATGGGGGTGCAGGCATTGGATAAACACAGCTATTCCAAATGGGAGAAACTGGCCAAAACAAAGGGGCTACAGGCCCCTTGCAAGTCAAAAATCCAATAGAGCAGTCATTAAACCTTAAAGTTCCAAAATTATCTCCTTTGACTCCAGGTCTCACATTCAGGTCACACTGATGCAAGAGGTGGGCTCCCATGGGGCTCCCATGGTCTTGGGCAGCTCTGCCCCTATGGCTTTGTGGGGTACAGCCTCCATCCTGGCTGCTTTCATGGGCTGGTATTGAGTGTCTGCTGCTTTTCCAGGCTCATGGTGCAAGCTGTCAGTGGATCTACCATTCTGATGTCTGGAGGATGGTGGCCCTTTCTCACAGCTCCACTAGGTAGTGCCCCAGTGGGGACTCTGTGTCAGGGCTTCAACCCCACATTTCCCTTCTGTGCTGCCCTAGCAGAGGTTCTCCATGAGGGTCCCACCCTGCAGCAAACTTCTGCCCGGACATCCAGGCATTTCCATACATCCTCTGAAATCTAGGTGGAGGTTCCCATATCTCAATTCTTGACTTCTCTGCATTTACAAGCTCAACACCACATGGAAGCTGCCAAGGCTTGGGGCTTTCACCCTCTGAAGCCACAGCCCAAGCTGTACCCTGGCCTCTTTTAGCCATGGCTGGAGCAGCTGGGACACAGGGCATCAAGTTCCTAGGCTGCACACAGCAGAGGGTTCTACGCCCAGTTCATGAAACCATTTTTTCCTTCTAGGCCTCTGGGCCTGCAATGGGAAGGTCTCTGACATGTGAAGGTCTCTGACATGCCCTGGAGGCATTTTCCCCACTGTCTTGGCTCCTTGTTACATATTTGGCTCCTTGCTACTTATCCAAATTTTGGCAGCCAGCTTGAATTTCTCCCCAGAAAATGGGATTTTCTTTTCTATTGAATCATCAGACTGCAAATTTTCCAAACTTTTATGCTTTGCTTCCTCTTGAATACTTCACTGCTTAAAAATTTCTTCTGCCAGATACCCTAAATCATTTCTCTCAAGTTCAAGGTTCCATATATCTCTAGGGCAGGGGCAAAATGCTTGCAGTCTCTTTCAATAGCAAGAGTGACCTTTACTCCAGTTCCCAATAAGTTCCTCATCTCCATCTGAGACCACCTCAGCGTGGACCTTATTGTCCATATCACTATCAATATTTTGGTCAAAGCCATTCAACAAGTCTCTAGGAAGTTCCAAACCTTCCCATACTTTCTTATCTTCTGAGCCCTCCAAACTGTTCCAACCTCTGCCTGTTACCTGGTTCCAAAGTCACTTCCACATTTTAAGGTATCTTTACAGCAGTACTCCACTCTCAGTACCAATTTACTGTATTAGTCCATTTTCCCACTGCTGATAAAGACACACCTGAGGCTGGGTAATTTATAAAGAAAAAGAGGATTAATGGACTCACAGTTCCACATGTCTGGGGAGGCCTAACAATCATAGTCATAGGTGAAGGGTGAAAGGTGCATCTTACACGGTGGCAGGCAAGAGAGAGCTTGTGCAGGGGAACTCTCGCTTATAAAACCATCAGATCTCACGAGACTTATTCACTATCATGAGAAGAGCATGGGAAAGACCCGCCCCCATGATTCAATTAACCTCCCACTGGGCTCTCCCACGACGTGTGGGAATTGTGGGAAATATGATTCAAGATGAAATTTGGATGGGGACACAGCCAAATCATATCATCTGCCAATATTTATTATCTGTCTGTTTTATTTTAGCCATCTTAATGGATATAAAGTGTTATCTTATTGTAATTTTGATTTGTATTTCTCTGATGGCAAATTATGTTGAATATCTTTCTATGTGCTTATTGACCATTTGTGTAATTTCTTTGGATAAATGTTTGTTCATATCCTTTGCTCACTTTTTCATTTTATTTTTGACGTATAAATATGGTTTTTGTTTGTTTGTTTGTTTTTGTTTTTTGAGGTAGAGTCTTGCTCTGTCTCCCAGGCTGGAGTGCAGTGATATGACCTTGACTCACTGCAACTTCTGCCTCCTGGGTTCAAGCAATTCTCCTGCGTCAGCCTCCTGAGTAGCTGGGACTATAGGTGTATGCCACCATGTCCGGCTAATTTTCATATTTTTAGCAGAGACAGGGTTTCACCATGTTGGCCAGGCTGGTCTTGAACTCCTGACCTCAGGTGATCCACCTGCCTCAGCCTCCCAAAGTGCCGGGATTATAGGCATGAGCCAAGTATGGCTTATTTTAAAAACTTTGTTATTTAGAAATAATTTCAGACTTTTACAAAGTTGCAAGAATAGTATAAAGAATTCCTGAATACTTTTAATGCAGATTTCCTAAATGTTAACATTTCACCATTGCCTTATTCCTTCTAACTTTTTTCTGAAACATTTGAAAGTAAATTGCAGATATGATGCCCCTTTACTAAATACTTCTGTGTATTTCCAAAAACAAGAACACTTTCTGATATAACAATAGTTCATTGGTCAAAGTCAGGAAATAATTCAATGCCAATAACTAACTCTACAGACCTTATTCAAATTTCACCCATTCCCCTACCCATGTCCTTTATCAGACTTATGCTTTTAACACAATTTTTATGTATTTCTTACCTTTCAGGCATTTGTATCTTTTTTAAAAAAGTTACTGTTGGCCAGGTGCAGTGGCTCACACCTATAATCCCTGCACTTTGGGAGGCCGAGACAGGAGAATTGCTTGAGTCCAGTTCAAGACCACACTGGGCAACATAGCAAGATCCATCTCTACAAAAAATACAAAAATTAGCGAGAGCAGATAATCATCTTCCTCAGAAAAGAAGAATTTTCCAGACCCTCTCCTAGTATAGGAAAACCACATTCTCCTTAGGGGCTGTTCCCAAGTGGTTCCTCCTAGAAGCAGCTAGGTTCAGAAGAGGCTACGTCTGATTTTTTGCCATCTCTTCATTATTCCCTCCTTTTCTTCAAAATCTTGCAAATGGTAGAAATTTAATAAATGTCAAATGAATGGATGGATGGGATCGTGCTTTCATCAACCTGTCTTCTAAGGCCTGAAGAGCAGGGAGAAGCTATTAAAATTCTTTAAATAGTAGGCTGTTGGGCCAATGAGATCTCTATCTTTCAGTGTGAATAGGTAAGTGAAAAGCAGGGCAACTTCAAATGGTATATACATATACAGAGTCCTATCAGCGTTAAAATAGAGAAAGCTTAAAAACAATTAGCCAGGTGTGGTGGTGCACACCTGTAATCCTAGCTACTCAGGAGCCTGAGGTAGAAGAATTGCTTGAGCCGAAGAGTTCAAGCCTGCAGTAAACTGTGATCACACCTCTGGACTCCAGTTTGGGCCAAGAATGAGACTTTGTTAAAAAAAAAAAAAAAAAAAGGAAGAAGAAAGAAGAAGGAAGAAGAAGAAGAAGAAGAAGAAGAAGAAGAAGAAGAAGAAGAGGAGGAGGAGGAGGAGGAGGAGGAGGAGGAGGAGGAGGAAGAAAAAAAAAAGAAAAAGAAAAGAAAAGAAAAGAAAAAAACCTTCCTCCAAGTTGTTTCTTCCTTGGAGTTGGCAATAAGAGGAAAGGCGATAGCTTTGCTGTTTAGCCCCAGGGGAGGGATCAGCCCTGTGGGGAATTGGGCTAAATTATCAGAGGTTACTTACTGCCCTTGCTAAACTCTAAAGAGATTCATTTTTTAAAAACTGATACATAATATTTGAACATATGTGTATACACAATGGAATACCATTCGGCCACAAAGAAGGAAACCATGACGAGATTCCTTTTTAATATATGTAGCTGCATGCCAACTTGTCTCACGTTCTCCTTCTCCTAGAAAAAAAAAATGTGGATTTTCTGAAGCACCTACCTGGAAGTACATACAGATGATTTCGTAAACTTGAAGCTGAGAGTGGATGGAACTGCTTCTAGGAAGACTGTAGCATGAGCAGGAGCAGAATCCTGGGGAACACATTTTTAGTGACAGGAGTCAGAAATCTCAGAGAAGCACGGGTTACTGGTGGGAGCACGGAGCTGCTCAGAGCCTAGTAAAAGGAAAAGGTTTTAATATCATTTGAAGCCATTGTGGTTCTCCAAGAGGAAGTTCCTGTCATCCAGAGAGCAGTGAGCTCCCAAGCAAGCAGAGACTTCAATCCCTAAACGAGCATAAGCTTCATTCAGGGCATTCACTGGCCACGACCAGGGACGCCCAGCACCTAGTGCAGGGCCTGCCCTGGAAGAGGTCAGTAGTGCAAAGAAGTTAGGGCTGGAAATGGGAGGAAATTCGAGCATGCGTCCCAGCCGGAGGTTGAGCTCGCGGACGAAGAACAAGGCAGCGCTGGAAACCACGCTAGGGCTTTCCGTGTGGGCCGCGCCTGCCGGCCCTCTCTGTTGTCCCACTTGGCACCGACTGGGCTACCGCCCACAGCTTGACTTCCGCCACCAGCGACCAAGGGAACCAGATCCCAAGGGAACCAGCACTCCTGGGCGCTCGCGGCCCGAAGCCTGAGGTTCCCTCCCGGCCCCGGCAGGGCGGCCCCGCCTACACCCGTTGCGGTCCCGCCCCCCGCGACCGTCCCGCCTCCCTCGGGTCCCAGCGCCGCCGGCGGACGACAGTAGCATGGAGGGCGGCTTGGGGCGTGCTGTGTGCGTGCTGACTGGGGCCTCCCGCGGCTTCGGCCGGACGCTGGCCCCGCTCCTGGCCTCGCTGCTGTCGCCCGGCTCCGTGCTGGTCCTTAACGCCCGCAACAACGAGGCACTGCGGCAGCTGGAGGCCGAGCTGGGCGCCGAGCGGTCTGGCCTGCGCGTGGTGCGGGTGCCCGCCGACCTGGGCGCCGAGGCCGGCTTGCAGCAGCTGCTCGGAGCCCTGCGCGAGCTGCCCAGGCCCGAGGGGCTGCAGCGACTGCTGCTCATCAACAACGCGGGTAAGACCCCGAGACTGGAGCGGGCTCCCCATGTGAGCGCCCACTTCCTCCACCGCTGGGGAATTTAACAGCGACTCCTAGGGAGTCAGATAGGAAGCCTAGAAATCTAAAGCCCTAGTTGTTCCAGCTTGAGTAGCAAGTGGAGGCGAGGTGTACAGGAAGACTCGGTGTCGTCGGGGCAACAGTCTGCCCCCACTTCCTGGAAAATTGGCCAGCCAGGTTTTCCAAAGCGCCTGTAGAACTTTCCCGATCCCCTTGCTCTGCGCCCTCTGGCGGAGGCCTGAGTCAGGGCTTCGAGTCTCCAAACAAGTAAAGTCGCTGCTTCTCCAGAAGACCCCTAGAGCTCTCCCTCAGCAAGTCAGGTGCCTTCTCCTTCTGCAGCTTGGGATGGCTGGGTTCCCCAGGTGTGTCTTTCCGCAGAGCTGGGGAAGAGAGAAGCCTCTTCAGAAGCGCTAGACAGCTTCCTCCTCTAGGTCTGCATGGGAAGAGGATATCTGGAAGAACTTGGGAGGGCTGGGGGAGAAGAAAGCCCCGCCTGCCCTGAGTTACTCCCAAGGGTTGGTTTTTCAGGCTCTCTTGGGGATGTGTCCAAAGGCTTCGTGGACCTGAGTGACTCCACTCAAGTGAACAACTACTGGGCGCTGAACTTGACTTCCATGCTCTGCCTGACTTCCAGCGTCCTGAAGGCCTTCCCGGCCAGTCCTGGCCTCAACAGAACCGTGGTTAACATCTCGTCCCTCTGTGCCCTGCAGCCTTTCAAAGGCTGGGCGCTGTACTGTGCAGGAAAGGCTGCTCGTGATATGCTGTTCCAGGTCCTGGCGCTGGAGGAACCTAATGTGAGGGTGCTGAACTATGCCCCAGGTAGGTGGGAAGTCCTGCCGTCCCTGTCCTCCAGAACCCACTGGTGCGCCTCTGGGGGCTGAGCAAGCGGTCTAGTCCACCCCCTCCAGGAAACAACCCACAGGATTTTGATCCATGACCCCTTAGGGGAAATACAGACCCAGGGGAAACAGAGGTGGTAGGGTCCGGGGATACTGGCAGAGAGTGAGGAGTTGCCTGGACTGGAGGATGGGGCAGGAAAGTCTGAGGTATTAGATGAAGTTTGGGAGAAGACTGGGGTTTGAGTACCAGGCCTTCCTCATGTGAAATGGGGAAGACGCTCCCTGCCTCACAGGGCACTTCGGAAGACTGAATGAGATACTGTATGTGAAAATGATCCTGACCTGTGAAGTGTTGCCTCATTGTTAAATAGGACTGACCACACTGTATTGCGCTATGCATCTGTGTGTTCCCAACACCTAGCAAAGCACTACAGTAAGGCAAGCTGCAGGACATGCTAGCTGTATGGAGAGCAGACAGGCATTGTTGAGTGCTGACCATTCCTGGCTGAACTGTGCTGGAACATTATTGAGGATACTGGGATAAGTACAATAGAGCCCTTATTTTCATGAAGGCCAAAGGACAGGGAGTCTTGTGATACTGGGTCTGGTTTCTGATGCTGCAGCGCCCCTTTCTTAATAGTGAGGAGTCTCTTTTAGGCTTGAGGTTGCTGCAATCAGAAAGTGGTGACAGAGTAGCCATGGAAAGCCTGAGCAACTTGGGCAGTGATCCAGTAGTCTGTGTCCCTGGGGAATAGGGTCAGGATCCCAGGGCAGGCAGGTAGAATGGCCTGCACAAAGCACAGATGTGGCAGGCCTGCATCCCACCATGTTTCCAAGTCCTTCCTCACGTTCTCCTGTACCCCAGCCCCTACCACCCCTGTCCCCCAACACACATGAACAATTATTCTTGCAACCAACATTCAACTCATCATCCACTCTGAGCTCAGCCCAAGGACTCGCACAAACAATGGTGACCAAATGTAAGCTACAACCAGGAGCAGAGCAGACTCCAAGAGGCCACATGGCTGCATTTGGTCTCAGGAAGCTGCCCCGGGCATTATGAGGGAGCTGAGATTTTCAGGAGGTCCCCAGGGCCTGAACCAAGGCAGAGGCCAGTCTAGTTTTCATTTTGGTCTCAGGAAGAATGTTGTAACAAGTGCTCAGAGATAGAATGGGCTGTTTGGAAAGGCAGCAAGTTCCCTCTCAGCAGGGATGCACAGGTCATTGGAAAGCAGTCAAGGACTAGGAGATAAATTCTCCCTCCAACCCTGGAATTCTCTGATTTTCTGCCCTTGAGGACCACTAACTGCAAATACTGGGGTGCATGAGTGATTCTTATGTGAAGAATGGAACGTGCTTGCAACAGTTCAGAAAGGGAACAATTCCCTTTAGGTGGGGAGACTAGAGATGGCTTTATTGGAGGTAGCTGAACTGGACATTGACCTCGGTTGTTAGCAGATGGAAGGCGTTTCTGATGAAAGGAAATAAAGGTGCGAAGGCTCACTGTGGGTGTGGCAGGTCTTCCAGTTTGCCTGTAGGGTAGGTGTGCCCAGAGGAGGGCAGACTAGGATGCTTTGAGTACTAGGCCAGGCTAGTGGGAAGCTGTTGAGGGGTTCTGAGCAGAGGAGTGTTGTGATCCCAGTGATGTTTTTGTTTGTTTGTTTCTTTGTTGAGACGGAGTCTCACTCTGTCGCCCAGGCTGGAGTGCAGTGGCGTGATCTTGGCTCACTGCAAGCTCCGTATCCCAGGTTCACGCCATTCTCCTGCCTCAGCCTCCCGAGTGGCTGGGACTACAGGTGCCCGCCACCATGCCCAGCTAATTTTTTGCATTTTTAGTAGAGACGGGGTTTCACCATGTTAGCCAGGATGGTCTCAATTTCCTGACCTCGTGATCCGCCTGCCTCAGCCTCCCAAAGTGCTGGGATTACAGGAGCCACCGCCCCTGCCTCAGCTCAGGCAATTCTAGCACCTCAGCCTCCAGAGTAGCTGGGATTACATGTGCATGCCACTACGCCTGGCTAATTTTTGTATTTTTAGTAGAGATGAAGTTTCACCGTGTTGACCAGGCTGGTCTCAAACTCTTGACCTCAAGTGATCCACCTGCCTCAGCTTCCCAAAGTGCTGGGATTGCACGTGTGAGCCACTGCAGCCGGGCCCCAGTGATGTTTTAGTGGAGTGAGTTTAGTAGAGGGCTACAGGAGCTGAGGCAGGGAGAGAAGCAAGCTTGTAAAAAGGACCTGATTGTCGGGATACGTACACGCTGAAGGGTCCTACCTGGTGCCTGGTTGGCTGTGGGGGTGAGGAGGGGAGGGAAGGAGGAGGTGATGGAGGTTTTGAATCTGGGAAAAGAATACTTCTTTAATAGAAATGGGAATATCAGGAGGTGGTGCTGGTTGGACAGGAGATGAGAATCTTGGTTTTAGACATGGTAATCTAGAGGGTCCATGTTCATTGGGCTTTTGAATTTCAGTCCAGAACTTGATAATGACAAATTGGAGCCTTTGACAACCCTGACCACACATTTCAGCCAAGATGACGTGTTTCCTCCGGCCAGACCTGACTCAGCCCCACCCCCGACATACAACAGGGACCTGAAACCTTCTGCCCTGCCTCGGCCATGTTCCCTCATCGTCTGCTTTTCATCCTCTAGGTCCTTTGGACACAGACATGCAGCAGTTGGCCCGGGAGACCTCCATGGACCCAGACATGCGGAAAGGGCTGCAGGAGCTGAAGGCAAAGGGGAAGCTGGTGGATTGCAAGGTGTCAGCCCAGAAACTGCTGAGCTTGCTGCAAAAGGACGAGTTCAAGTCTGGAGCCCACGTCGACTTCTATGACAAATAAGCCCATGTTTTTGGCTTCCTGAACCTTTTCGTCCCCACTTTCAGACATACCCCAGAGCCCTGTGGCTCCCCACACCCTGCCATAGGCGCAGTCCTGCCTTACACATAGAAGCACTCATGCCTGCTGCCCTGCCGTCATGCACAGCCAGCTGTGAGCTCCCAGATCTTGGCCTTACCTGTTGTCAGGAGTCTGTGCTGTGCACCCTGGATTATGAGGATGGTAGGAGAGAGGTTATGGGTATTGGTGTCTCTATCCCCAGGAATAGATAGAACTTAAGGAGTGGGAAGAGCAGGAAAAGAAGCTGGAACACACAAGAGAGGAGGTTGTGTCTCCTGCTCATAGCAAGCCTGTGGGGAGAGGGAAGAGTGATCTGGTGTCGAATAGGAGGACCCATGTAGATTCGCAGATGGCCTAGATGGGAAGAAGAGCAGATGGTACAAGTTCCAGCCCACATAGATGCCCCTTGCTGAGGGTAGCAGGACCTTCTTTTGAACTTTGTGTCCTCACTCTGATGTCTCTTTCCTCCCGAATCTACCACCCCTCCCCCAGGCTGGGAGAAGGGGCTCCTGGGTGTCTATACATGCCAAAGGCAGATACAAATAAAATACAGATTGTCCTTTTTTCATGCTTGCTTTCTCCTCTGATACAGGGTCTGTTTCTAACTTCCTGGTTCACTGGGCCCAAGGTCATTCCCGAGGCAGTTAACCCAAAAGTGAGATGTTGTCCTTATTTCCTAGGGAGCTGTCCTGGGGCCATCTGCCTCCAATCATCAAGCCCCACTCAGTGGCAAGCCCAGGTCCAAAGTTGCCCACGATCGGCATGCCTGCTCTTTTGTGTTGTTGCCCACGCCAACCCCAGCCTTGACAGCCCTTTTCTCACCCTGGGCTATTCAGAGTACCCATCTTTTACGGCCCAACTTACAACCTGCCCTCCGCATGGCCCTGGAGCCTGGGTCTTTTCCCCGACTCTGTGGATTCCCAATTCCACCCACTGTCCACATGGCAATGCTGTGAATGGTTGCCAGCTGCTATTGGCCCTCTTGGTGTTGCCCATCTGGCCCAGCCCATGGTCCAGGTCCTCAGTGGGGTGGGCTTAGGACCAGCATGCCTTTGGGGGAGATGGGCAAGATTCCAAGAAATGGAAGCTCTGAGAAATCAGGGCTTCATCTAAGCCAATCCTTGTGCAGGTTGGTAGACATAGGCTAGACTGGGAGCTCCACAGCAGTGGTGGTCTGCAGCCAGCACCCTGGCCCCTGGCCATATTTGGGAGGAGGGAGCGTGGTCCGCTGCCGGCTGACTCCAGGACGCCGCCTGCCTGAGTGTGCATAAGGGAACTCCTCCTTGTGCTCAGCAGAGGGCGCATGGAGGCCGCGCCTCTTGCTGAAGGGCAGGCCCTAGGCTGAAGCTGGCAGCGCCCTGCCTGCTCCCCTAGGAGGGAATGGGCGAACTCTTGTCTGGTCCAGCAGAGGCGTTACCCTCATGCGCCCATTGAAGTAGAAATCACTGGGCTCAGGTTCCTGCTCTGCCACAGCTGGTAACCCAGGGCAAGTTTCTTCTCTGTGCCTCAGTTTCCTTATCTGAAAAATGAATTATAATGGCACCTACCCTAAAGGGTTATTTTGAACATTAAGTGACCTAATGTTTGTAAATGTTCAGCACAGTGCTAGCATTGTGGTAACTGCCCCGTAGGTGCTAATATTATTTATTGCCTTTAAATATCAAGATCCAGATCATTCTGGAGCCCTGCTGGAAGCCTCCTCTCCTCTAGGCAGCCCAGACATCCTCCCCTGGATGACTTGAGGCAAAACCTCTCACTGTACTGCCCCTATTCAGCCTCCTGGAGGTGACGGTGGGGTCTGGTCTGGATACCTTGTCTTGGATTTACAGAAAAATGCATGAACTTTGGAGTCAGGAACCTTCAGTTCCACTACCTTGTCTGTGACAGAGATGCTGTGGGGAGTTGGGCAGAGCCCTGCTCTCTCTCTGGGCTTCAGTTTCTTTAGAGCAGTGAACTCCAAGATTCCTTCCTGGACACCTTCCTCTGAGGTGTTTCCAGTGTGATGAGGCAGTGGATTATGGCAGCCTGGGTTGCCTTTCGTGCCATTGTGGCTGGTAGGTAGGTTTCCTCACCCGGCCCCTTGCTCCTGCGGGAGTATGAGGGTGGGCAGTGCCAGTCCAGCTCCTTGTGAATGATCATCGGGGTTGACTCTGTCCCTCCCCTCTAGGTTGGTTGGCCAGGGGCTTCGTGAGGAGTACCGCTTGTCCCCACAAGGTGGCGAGGCCCTCCCATGCCTGACATTTGTCTTCTCTGAGCCCAGAGATGTAAGAGCTTTGGAAGTGCTCTCTTGGGCTGTCTCTCCGGGCAGTCCAGGATTCTGGACTCGCGGGGGCCCCCAGGGAACTGGGGAGATCAGAGATGGGCGGCAGCCCTCTTCCTGCCAGGTCCCAAGGCCTCTTCAGTGACCCACGGTCTCTGGCCTCAGGGATTTCCCAGACCTTGCTCCCAGCCCTGAACTCAGCCTCCCCAGGTCCCCCACACTGAGGCAGGGAGGCTTTTGTGGCAGCCTCCAGGCCATAAGCAGCCACCCTCCAGGGGCTAACCATCTGTGTTCCCCGACTGCATGACCCGGCCTTGGCCACCACACACATGAGCACACGTGAGTGCACACACACAAATACATGCCTGCACATGCCCAGGGCCCAGCTGCTGGAGCGAGCAGGGCCATAGATCAGCCAAAAGACAAACAAGTTTCCTCTTTGTCTTTGGTGTGAGAGTGCTGGACGGTTTTTGGTTTTGTGTTTAATACGCCTGCACTGGGGCCAGCAGCTGGCCTGTGAGGAGCAGGGGGAGTGAGGGGAATATTCCAGGCCAAAGCCAGTGTCCAAGAGCATGACCAGCTGGGATTAGTCTGGTCAAGAGGTTCCCCCGAATCCCCAATTCCTGTCCTTCCTCCCATGAATAAACACATGTGCCCCCACACCAAGGCTGGTGCTGAGTCTGTTGTCAGTCATCAGGGTCACATGCCCAGGATGTACTCCATCCTAGCATCTCCCTGTGTCTCACCCCAGAGAGCCGGGCCCTGGGATGCTGCCTCCTAGCCTCCGTCACCTTCTTCCGTCCCCATAGAACATGGCCTCATAGGCTAGCAGGCATGTGGTAATTCTGACTCGTATGGCAGGTGTGCACATTCCCGGGTGAGCACACCCAAGAGCACCCAGGCATGCCCTCGCTACTGGGCTCCCGTGTGGTGACAGAGAGGTGGGTGAAGATGACTCCCAGTCCCTGGGGTGGAGACCCCCATTGGGTGGCACCTCTCCAGCTCTCACATCATCTCTCAGTAATCTGGGGTGTAAAAGAGGAGGGGAGTGGACCAGAAGCCACTAGACAGCTTGCTGGAAGCCAGCTGAGGAATCACTCCGAACCTCTGGGGTCAGCTGGGGGAGCCGATGATGGAGGGTAGGGCTCCAAGCCTGGAGCAAGCCATCCTTGCCCCACTCCCCAGTCCTGAGGTCTCCCACCTGTGGTGCTGGGAGATGGGGAGCAGAACAGATGTTGTCTCAGACTTTTGAAGTAGAGCCCACTCCCACCAGGGAATTATTGTTACTTCCCAGCCAGCCTCCCCTACCTCACCCTTTGTCGCTCCTTTCATCCGTGGTAACTCCATCTTCAGCCCTAAGTGCCCTTCGTGTGAGCCGGGAGAGTCCCAGACTTCTATTTTCAGTAAGGAGCTGGAGGAAAGGAGGATGAGAGAGAGAAGGAAATGCCTATCCCTTGGGGGCTCCTCCCCCAGCTGACCTCAGTGGCTCAGTGTGGTTCCTCAGCTAACTAACCTGAAAGCTGTCTAGTAGCCTCTTAGTCCACAGGACCGCCCAAGGACAGCCCCAGATCCCCCTATCTCACCCCCTGGTCAGGAGCCCTATGCAAAGGACAGGGACACCTGCATCATTTTCTGGAACAGAATAGGCTTTTTCTAAGAGTCCCTCCTTGTGGCCTGCCCGGGTGACACAGGAAAGGGACCAGGGGCAAAGGGAGGAGTTGAAAGGAGGTAAGTCCCCTCGAGCATCCAGGCAGAGAAACAAAAGCAGACACCGCGAGAGTCAAAGACGGAGACAGGGCAAGCCGGACAGTGAGAGAAGATAGAGACAGGGACAGAAACACAGGGAGGAAACAAGCAGAAAGATTCGAAAATATAGTAAGACAGATTTAGATGAAGGGAGAGAGATGGCGGGAGAAGCCACACACCCTCACACACTCACACACGCTCATACTCCCTCTCTCTCTTCCCCCACTCCCTCTCTCTCTCACATACACACACTCACACACACACACACACCCGGGCGTGCGCTCACGCAGCCGCCCTGAGCCTTGCTGGAAATAATCCCGTTCGCGACGCCAGGGCCTCAGCTGCACAGGCGTTGCCGAGCTGTTACCTTGCACATCTGTCAGCTCCAAATGTAGAAGCTGTCATAGGACTGTATGTGTGTGAGTGTGAGAGTGTGTGTGCATGCCTGTTCCTCCCAGAGAATTCTGAGGCCTTGGTCGGCAGAGGGAGATTCCCAAAGGCCCAGAGGCTCTCCAGGAAGTCCAAGCCCTGGGAAGCAGGTCTGCTCCTTCCCTTCCTGCACAGGAAGTGGCCACAGGGCCGCCCAGCTTTATGAGATAGCCCACTGGACTTGGCTTCTGTGGCCTGGCTTGGCCACTCACAGCCATGGGGCCCTGGGCAGTCACTTCTCAGAGCAGCTGTGTCCTGCTTGTCAGGTCGAGATGTTGGGTAGCTATGCCACCTGGAAGGAACCCAGACAGGGGGTGATGAGCACCTGGTCTGGTGTGTGTCAGTCACTTCTGGTTGTCAGGGATTTTTCTCTGAGAGCTGGGAAGTCCTTCTTGTGTCTGACTCCCACTTCTGGGAATGTATCCCACACCCAGGTCCCTCTGGGGCACCGAGAACATTGCCCTCCTCTGACCCACTCTTCTCCATGCCAGTCTCCTTGCTGGACTGGAGGATGGGCCTTGGGCACCGACTCTGGGCTGCAAAAGGTCCAAGAACCTCAAACACCAAGTCTCCAGGAGAATAGGGTGTTGGCACAAAGCCTGGAGGACTTGAGAATGTTGAGCCTTTTCCTGTAAGGATCCTTGGGTAGAAACTTTTCTCTGGTGACTCTTTCCAGGTTTTCAACCCCACTCCCTGGCTCCAAATGTCAGGACGTTCTTCTTTTGTGTTTGCACTTCCTCCTGCTTTAATCTAAGCTTATCACAGATAAATTTCATAGCAATGAGAAAGAGGCCCCAGGAACTACCTAGTAAGGAGGGCAGCTTTTTCACTCCAAGTAAGAGGAAAGAGGGACCCTGACCAAAGGGACCCCACCCTGTATTGGTGCTCTTCCCACAATGCCATGGCCACCCTATTTCATCCTCCCCCATCCATGGAACTGACCCCTTGAAGACTTGAATACAAAGGCCCTGCCATCCATCCCACAGGCCGGCACCTTCACCCCTGTCCTGGTCTCATCAGAAACCATCTTAACCCCAGGCCATCTCTCTTGCCGTCCTCAGATCCATGTTTCTTTCTGCCCAAAGGCTGGATGGAACAATCTAACAGGCATTGTATGCTCATAGTGCTCAC